TGCACCGTTACATTTCGAGGAGAGGAAGAGGGTCAGGTGATTGGCGAAAAAGAATTTCTGATCGAGAAAAAAATGACAAAAACAAAGAGAAAACTCGTGCAAAAGGGGCCAAGCTTTTTTCACGTAGCGTTGTAATGCAAACCAAATCAGGTGCCAGTTGTTTTCGATAGTAACAATTGAGCGAAAACAACTCTATTTAATAAATAGATTCCATGTTGCCATGCGTTTGTTCGGTAATTAATAGATCACAGATGAAGTCAAAATGTGGTAAGAACAAAACTGGCACACGAGGCGATAGCCGAATGTATCAGTGATATTTGTTCCACCACATTTTGACGTCACCTGTGATCTATTACTGAACAGACACACGGCAACATGGAATCTATTTGTGTTATATAGAAAAACAACAAGTATGTTAATGAAGTCATCTATGCGTCTATCCTTTGATAGATCATAGGTGACAACCAATCAAATGTGAGAATAATTTGACTTATTATATAAGTATTAACCTTGCCAAATAGAGTCAGAAAGGCTGTAAAGATATAGCCCACGATACTGAGTTTTGAAGCAGTTGAAATCAATAAACGCCCTTGAAATACATCTGATAAGTTTTTAGCACGCTCCTTTTCCCCCGTCTGCTCATTGCCTGAATATTCAACGCTGTCTGCAGTGAGAAAGTTGCTCGACTTCAATGCCTTTCCTTTTAACAAACACTGACGTCAGGACAATAAAGTTTTTTCCCGCCTGCTGAATCCTGATTGGTCAATTCAAATTTCAGGCGCACCAGCCAGCTGTATGCAAGGCTTATTTATAACGACGATTGATTCATCGACATTGAAACACCCAAGCTCGAAGAAATATGTTTTAATGGTATTTTGCTGCTAAAATGGAGCAAAAATTGTTGTCTGTACTGTACAGGGCCCCAGCAAAAGGAAGCCATACAGTTGCTAAAAAGGGAACTTCTTTCAAGGGAGCTTTACGAAGTTCAACAGGGAGTACCTTCCCTTGACTGGAAGACAAACACCTCTTTCACAAAACAGTGACGGAAAACTAGTTTATTTTGCAATAGTACACTTTCCTATAAAACTCCTCGAACTTCCGCGCATTTTAAGGATTGCACTGTACATGAACTTTTGTTTTGTTTTTTTTTTCTCAGTAGTGATCCAGGTCTGATGAATAACGCGTGGTCTTACTTTCGAAAACCTAAAGACTCCTTAACTTTATTGGATAAAGTAAGCTGTATTCCTGTAGCTGTATAAATAGGCGTCTCCCCTTGAGTGCGCAATTCTTTTCTGCTCGAGAGATGCTAATATTAACCCGCACATTTCATTGTGACGACGAACCCCTACAGAGTTATATGATACCATTTCTGATTGGCTGTTTCTTGCGCGCGAAATCGAATTCAACCAATCAGAGACGGAGATACAACACGGACTGCTTAATAGCTACGTCATCAGAACGGAATGCAGACAAACTCGCGAGCGGGAAAAGAAAACAGCGCGCTACGAGAGACCTCTATTTACTAAAGCTACTGTGTATCGAGTGCCGCAACGCAAATGTTTCGCGGGGACCACTCACAGTAAGATACAAAAGTTAAATATCTGCCAGAACTTGGCTCCTCTGGTTTGGATAAGGACCGCTATGGCGACTTAGCACCAACGAACCTGTTACATAAGGTGTCTTTTAAAAACTCGCGGTAACTTATCTGTTATATTACAAGAGTGATCGTTATAACTTAAGAGCAAAGTCGTTTGCCAGCCGGACGCATCATGGCAAGTACTTGAAAAAGCCAATTGAAAACTATCTTTATTTTGATTGGTCAAAGCACGTTGTACGTGCTTTTTTAAACCAATCACGAAACTCGACTTGTCCCAGACCTCCAAACTGTTGATAGATCACGTTCAAACAATTCCAACTAGTTTCCATTCTTTCCATTCGGATGTATAAGGGCAACGCGTATTATCTTCCATAGCTCACAGACGTCACAAACTGTCTCCCTTTAAAAAACATTAACAGGCAACAAACCTACAAATAACTTACGACGGAAAGCGTTGCTGTTTTTAAAATTATTCGTTGACAATTCTTGATAAAATACAATATATAAGCAACTGTGTGCATTAAATTTTGTTACTCATTTACCGGTTATTAAATTGGAACATTAACATTTTCTGAGTGAAATTTCGGCAAAATATGAAATTACATAGATAAATCTTACCCCACCCACCCCTCCCTATGCTTTAGCTCAAAAACTGGGACCCGTTAGACTTACGGGATCTTTCAATCCACACTGAAAACTGAAAAACAACGCAAAAAGCGAAACTAATTTGATCGCAGTACTTTTTCCGGGTGTTAAAACGTTAGGAGTGTTCATTTAAGGTAATTAATTAACTAATTATTTGGTTAGTTAATTTGTTAACTAATTAATGATATTTAGTGATAATGATGGCCAGTTCTTTCTCACAAGAAGCTGATACTTGTTTGAAGTCTGCGCTCCGTTGGTGAAACTGGGGGGAAAAATCTGTTATTGCTCGGTCGCGCGGCTTCCCGCGGTGGTTCTCTGGTTTGGCGCGCTTTTAGCTGTTCGCCATACGCCTGCCACCTAGCGTCATCGCTTTCGTGAGTAAGATAACGTTCGCCCACAACCGCTTCCAGACTCCTGAGGTCCAACCAGGTCTGGTAGTCCTGGGTAGGAGTTAAATTAGAACGTTACGTTTGGCAGTTGGTTATTAAAATGGAGATTAGACCACTTCCGAGTTGCCGTTTGCCTCATTTTCAGAAAGAGTCCTCGAGCAAAATTTTTCATACGAAGACGAGTTTCAGCGCTTTCGCACGAAGACTCGTTTTCACACAGAGGGAACAACTGTAATTCGAAAATGGACTATTACGGTTTCTGTAGCATAAAGCGAAAACATGGTACCACCGCCCCACCCCCTCCCCTTCGGGAGTAGTGCTATATCACAGACCATCCCACAGCATTTTTGACACGTTGCTCTGACAGTATAAATTAAGTCATGCAAAAAAAACCACAATAAGTTACTGAGCTAAATCGAAGAATTTCTTAATGTATGCTTTTGAGCGAAAAAGCGAAGTGTTAAAGTACGCAATACAAATGAGATGAAAGACACAAAAGAGTGAAATGTTTACGATAGAAGTTGTGATATTTGTTCGTGCTAACTGACCACAGTATTACATTAGGTAAACTTACCTGAAGCCACGGGTGAATAAGCGACTTATCACACGTATAGCGACAGCGTTGCTTGACTTGTAAGAGGTTGTTTATAAGGTCAATGGCTGGAAAAGAGAAAGGAAATTTAGGCTGGGTAAAAGGTCTATCTGGCTACTTGAATGAGAAGATTGGGGCAATAATACGAAAGAATTCATCATTCGGAGGTTCTTTTGTCATATTTTCTAATCTTTGCGGCTAAGTTCGAATTTTGAAGTATCAAAATCAAAATTATCCTGTAATAGCTGTTATTCCCGTTAAAAATCGGTAACGCGACATAGACAAAAACAAAAGGGACGAAACAGACAAACACATGTAAAAAAGTGTTCTGGCCAAATAGGTCAAAAGCATACGACGCTATAAACCAATCCAAACTCGAAGTACAGCCGTGTAGCTGGTACAAAGTGCGGGAAAACATACAACCGCAGTACAGCGTGGGAAAATATCTAACCGGTGCAAAGCGCGGGAAAGTGTGCAACTGGTGCAAAGCGCGGGAAAACGGAAGAAGCCAAGCGCAGAAACCAAGACGGGCATGGCTGTAGTTTTGTTTGCTTGCTCCTGATTGGTTGAAAGATAGCACGTCTGCTCTGATTGGTCAACACACTGACGCTTCAAAAAGAGTTCTGAACTAAAGAAAACAAATCAATTTCTGTAGCTGGTCGAGAACCGTTCTAATGTAACACAAACCTTCCGGCGAAATTTCCTGCCAAGGGTCAGGAGGGTACATAAACGCAGCATTGTGAATTTGATCTTGAATATCTTCCTCTTCATTGAACGGGAACGTACCACTTAAACTGTCGAAGAACAAAAATCACCCATTACACTAAATTCAAAATACCAAGGATTTCTTTACAATAATGCTGCAAAATTCCGCGGGAATGTTGCCTTATACTTAGCAGAAGAGGCATTAGGTCGAGTTTGATGAAATCAGACGATGCTCCGAATTTACGAGATGAAATCCTCCCCAGGAAAAAAGATGGCTGCTGCATATTTTCTTACAATACCATGCGAACCTTACATAGCCCATTAAGTACAATACATTAAGTACAATACATTAAGTACAATTAAGTACAATTCCCACTTTTGGCAATATTTGTCCCTGTGCTAACGACATAGAGTATACTAGATTTGAAGATGTTACAACGTTTCTGTACGTTTTTATGAGCGTTGTTAAAGTTTTCGTGCGCTAAAGATTTTGCATAAATGTACCAGTCGCCATCTTTTCTCCTACGAAAGATTAGATCTTCACCATGCGCTGTTATAAAGACTCGTAGCCGAGTTGTTAATGATTCTTACCTTACGTACACGACGACACCAACCGACCACATATCGAGCGACCTGTTGTATCCTTTATTAAGTAGAACCTCGGGGGCGAGGTACGCTGGGGTTCCCACCACAGAACGACGGAACGATTTCTCTTCGATTATCCGGGCAAAGCCGAAGTCGCACAGTTTGATCTGTTTAAGAGAACATATATTAGAACAAAGAAGAACTTTGCAATACAATGGAACTAAACCATATGTCGCTAAATTCAAAGAAACCTTTTCAATGAAAACGAAAATCAAATGAAAAGGGGGAAGTCATACCTGTGGGAAACCACATTCAGATGATAATGACGAAAGCAATACATTCTCGGGCTTCAGGTCACAGTGGACGATATTCCTGAGGTGAAGATCTCTCAAAGCAACTAAAATCTGCAATGAAAGATTTGAAAGTAGTTTGTCTAGTTGTGTATTTGTGCAATGACGCTTTTGGGTCCTCAACAAAGAAGAAATATGTTTCAAAACCAATCATAGTTATCAATTTTAAAATTCACACAGATTTGTCAAAAATGCACTGTATTACGGAATGCCTTTCCAAACAGTTAACACAGTTAGTTGATAATAAATACAAGTTGACAACGGAGGACAAAGCGAATTTGAAAAAGTCGACGATTCGAACGTGCTCTTTGTCTGAGCAAACTGGAGGATTGTGGGTTGTGTAAGCTTGTTGAAGTACAAAACATTTCTGGAAGGCCCCGTCCGCACTACGTCGGGGGAATTTGCAAACGCAGCTTCATTTCTCCGGTTCGGCCTACCGTCCACACTAATCCGTCACGAAAACTGAGCTTTTCGAAAGCGCTTTTCAAACCAGAGGAATTTGAAAACGCCGGCTTGGCGTTTCAGAGTGGACGGAAAACATTTTAGGAAACGAAGCTTTTCGTAAACGATGACATCGCGATAGTCATGACATTCCCCAGCTCGAATTTTCCTCAAACAAAAATCCATAATGACCGCTGATTGTTGCGTTTTCAAATTCCTCCAGCGTATTGTGGACGGGACATAAGACGAATTTGACGGAAAGAACATCGCTTTGCCGGGTGGCGGTACACGTATTTTACCTGTGTTATGAGGAATTTTGTACATCTCTCATCCAGTCTTCCCTTGGCACTTGACAAAATAAGTTCCAACATGTCACCTTTCATTTTTTCCATAACCACGAACACCTAAGAAATAATACAGTGCGTTCAGACACGGACAAAATATGCACGCCGGTTAACCAATCAGAAGTGATAACGTTGGCAAGCCACGGTTCCCTTTGGTCAATCCTAAAATCGAAGAAAGATGGCCGCTGTTCACGGAAATACGTGGCTACATGGTTCATATAGAAGACAGAATGTTCAAAGACGTTTACAAACAATTCAGCAATTTTCGAGAGTTGTTTCACTCAGAATTACACCTGAAATTTTTCTAGGATTTTTTTCATGGCTGCCCGAAACATGGTGGCACTTTGCTGTATGTGACTGTATGTAACAAAGTCCAAGTACACATCACGAACTGGAAGATACACTATTTACTGAAATTCAGAGCGCATTAGGAGCCTGAAATCGGTGGCAAAAGCCGTGGGAACAACGTTCCCCTTTCCTCTGCCCAGTGTTGGATGGCAAAATGAGAGAACCGTTGTACTAAAAATGTGCCCTTGATTATAGCTTTTAGAGCTTCTAGGTCACTTCACGAGTTGCAGTTTTTTCAAGCAAAACCTGGTATAGGAGGAGCTAGGGAACTAATGTGATGAGACGACACTGGTCTCCAGCCTTATACATAACACGCCATTCAAAGGAACCAATCAGAGGAAAGCTTTCATTGCTTACCCTTTCTGGAGTTTCAAACATCTCTTCTAAATTCACAACACCAGGATGATTGACGTGCTGTAAATAAAAAAAAAACACTGCATTAGTAAAGCACTCTCGTGCTGTTATTGTTGTTTTTTCTGTTGGTGGTTCTGTTGTTGTTTGAGACAAGAATACCCAAAGAACAACATTGAATGCTGTCACATTTTTAGCCTATGAATGAATTCCGTAAAGCCATTCCGTGCAGTTTCCTTGAAAACCTCTCATATAAAGCTATAAAGTGACTATAGTCGTGACAATAGTTGACATGCAATAATCACACTACGACCGAGTGACTTCACAAGGTAGTTTCGGTACGGGAGGCTACGAAGCTACACATTAGCTCCAGTAACGACTAAATGGTACAAGGATTTGTCTAAATGCTTAAAACGTGCACACACAAGAAAGGAAAAATATAGCATGCGTACATCTCTTACCACAATCTGCATAATTTACGTGACATACCTGGAGAATTCCGACTTCATTCTTCAACTGTGCTTCTTGTTTGGTTGGGAAGCGTTGTTTGTCGATGACTTTGATAGCTACATCTCGTCCACTTTCACGATGAACGCCTACGAAGTTTAAAAGAAAATTCTCTAATCACACGCGGCGCACAAACCTCTTCAGTGACTGTCATAACTTTTGGCTTAGAACTGGAGGATTCTGGAAACTAGACACTTAAAGTCGCATTTTTGGCGGGAAAAAGGGCGGGAACTGCACGCGGGCGCCATTTTTGACCGCTGGGGAACCAATCAAAGCTAAGCTAGTAGTGTCAAAAAAAACGAGCCGTGACTTGGCTTGGGGAACTGTTGAAAGGTTGTGCCTAAATCCTACCGCTCAGAAGGACAACCGAGGAGTACTAGGAGCGAGTTTCCGAGTCGAGCAGTTTTCGGAAATTGTCGGCTATTCCAATATGGCGGACTATACCATTCACATAAATATGTGAATTGCCAGTGGTAAAACTATGTTGATCAACAAGACAAGTACGTTTTTATTCACCCGACAAGTTAAGAATAATGTGTAGAGAGT